CATGGGGATGCATTTTTTTCCCCTGGATTCTGTAGAAAATACGTACGTTTCTTGTGCCATACAAATCCATTCCACTTGAAAGTCAAAGCTTTCTCCATCCCAGTTCCAGGAAGTACAAATGTCTGCAGTAGCTCAAGATTGGGCATTCAAACGATAGTGAATTATCAGATTCCATTTTCATAAATATTTCATCACATTTTTTGGGTGGTGGTGTCATCATAACCCCAGCGTATTCGTAACTAAAAATATTTCACATAATTAGAGCTATAGAAAAGCAACCTGGTCATCGTCTACACGTTCCACCAAAATGGAATTTTTGGCCACTTAAAATAGGTGGTTCTATGATATCAATATTTTTCAAAGGTACATTTTAAAAAGTACTACACATATAAGACTTTACAACCTTAAAGTTCTTTCCAGGTGATTGTTACCAGCATTAAAAAAAAAAATCATAGAAATCGTTCTTTGCTTTTGCATTCTAACATGACTCATTGGAAAAAGTGACATGGCAATCGTCAGTCACTGTTCTTTTCTAGGGCATTTCCTTACTTTTGTTAGTGATTTACATGTATACATGTTCACCTTCTTTTATGTATATCCAAAGTCTTGTTTCCAAGTCTTTTGTATAGCACCAGGATTTCAAAAATAGAGTGGGAGAAATTTATTCTAAAAATATTCTGTACTTTGACTGGAATTGGGATTAAAAATTGTGTTTTTTTTAATGCTTTTTATTATGTATTTATTTTTAAGACAGAGAGAGACAGATTATGAGCAGGGGAGGGGCAGAGAGAGGGAGGCACAGAATCTGAGGCAGGATCCAGGATCTGAGCTGTCAGCACAGAGCCCGATGTGGGGCTTGAATCCACAGACTGTGAGATCATGACCTGAGCCAAAGTCAGATGCTTAACCAACTGAGCCACCCAGGCACCCCTAAAAATTGTGTTTTTAGGAGCGCCTGGGTGGCTCAGATGATTAAGTGTCAGACTTTTGACTCCAGCTCAGGTCATGATCTCAGGATTGTGAGATTGAGCCCCACATCAAGCCCCACATTGGGCTCAACACAGAACCTGCTTGAGATTCTCTCTCTCTCTCCCTCTGCCTCTCTCCCCCACTCTCTCTAAATAAATAAATGTTTAAAAATTATATTTATATATATTTTTTAAAGTTTATTTTGAGAGACAGAACAGGGGAGGGGCAGAGAGAGAGAGGGAGAGAGAGAATCCCAAGAAGACTCCATGCTGCCAGCATGGGGCCCGACATGGGGCTTGAACCTACAAACTGTGAGACCATGACCTGAGCCAAAGTCAAGAGTCAGACACTTAACTGACTGAGCCACCCAGTCAACCAACCATGTTTTTATATTTTTATTTGAAGATTTTTTTTCTTACTCAGCTTTGTTGTCAAACTTAATGAACAAGACTTTTGAACATAATAAAAAATAGTGTCTAACCATTCCACATTTTTGTAGAGGGTTAGAATGAGATCATTTTAAGTTAAATTAGTTCTTGGCCAGGGCGCTGGGTGGCTCAGTCGGTTAAGCGTCCGACTTCAGCTCAGGTCACAATCTCGCGGTCCGTGAGTTCGAGCCCCGAGTCGGGCTCTGGGCTGATGGCTCAGAGCCTGGAGCCTGCTTCCGATTCTGTGTCTGTCTCTCTCTCTGCCCCTCCCCCGTTCATGCTCTGTCTCTCTCTGTCTCAAAAATAAATAAACGTTAAAAAAAAATTAAAAAGAAAATAAATTAGTTCTTGGCCTAATGCAAACTACAGCTGCCTTTAGGCATAATGTAACAAAAAAAAATCTTGTATGTGCTGGGCATTACCACGATGTTCAGTTATTGACTTAATATGGTTCCTAAGAGCTTAGAGAAAGCAATACTGAAGATGATTTTATTTATTTATTTTTTAATGTTTATTTTTCAGAGAGAGAGAAACAGAGCATGAGTGGAGGAGTGGCAGAGAGAGAGGGAGACACAGAATCCGAAGCAGGCTGCAGGCTCTGAGCTGTCAGCACAGAGCCCGATGTGGGGCTCAAACTCACAAATTGCAAGATCACGACCTGAGCTAAAGTCAGATACCTAACCAACTGAGCCACCCAGGTGCCCCAAGATTCACTTATTCTTAACATCTTATTCTTTTTGTGTTATCATATACCCTCTCTATATATACATATTTTTTTTCTGAATCATTTGAGAGCAAATCGCATGCATTATGCTTTTTTACCTCTACATACTTCAATGTGCATTTCCCAATAATAAGGATATTATTTTACACATGGTATAGTTATCAACTTCAATAAATTTAACATGGATGTAATACTTTTATCCATTCTACTGCTTGTATTGCACTTTTGAAAAACAGAACCAATATGTCCTTCGTAGTATTTTTTCTCCTGTGTAGGATCTAGTTAAGGATAATATATTGTATATAGTCATCACGTCTTTAGTTCTTAACCTGGAACAGGGATTCTACCTTTCTTTGTCTTCTATGTCAGTAACATTTTTAAAGAATGCAATCTTTAAAAAAATTTTTTTAACCTTTATTTATTTTTGAGATACAGACAGAGCATGAGTGGGAGAGGGGCAGAGAGGGAGGGAGACAGAATCTGAAGCAGGCTCCAGGCTCTGAGCTGTCACCACAGAGCCCAACATGGGGCTTGAACGCACAAACCATGAGATCATGACCTGAGCTGAAGTCGGGCACTTAACTGGCTAAGCCACCCAGGTGCCCCAATCTTTTGTTGCCAATAGTCCTCATTTTGAGGTTTGTTGAATGTTTCCTCATGATTGGATTCCAGTTATGCATTCTCTAATATTACATAAATTATGTTGTATCCCCATGGTATCACATCTGAGGCACACAATTGCCATCTGCCACTTGTTCAATATATTAATTTTGATCATGTAATCAGGGTGCTTCCCATATAGTAGTATAAAATTATGAGTATATAATTTTTTCCCTTGCAATTGCCAATTGTAACAAGCAATTTATGGAGAAGATACTTTAATACTATGTAAATATCCTGTTCCTCATCACACTTTCCCCTTTTGGATTTACCATCCATTGATGATTCTTGTCTGACCAATCTTGATCGTCATGGCTGCAAAATGATGATTTTCCAGTGTCACATTTACCAGTTTGCACTGGGCATTCTACTGCAAGCAAGGGCCTCTGCTCTCCCTTGTTTATTTACCTCTTTCTTCCTTCTTCCCTCCCTTCTTTCCTTTCTTCCTTCCTTCCTATCTGAGAGAGAGAGAGATTCTAGTGAACTCCCGTGGTAAACGATATTTCACATGTTATCACGACTTACTGCAGGGGGTATTGGGCATGTCCTGTGTGACTCTAGTGCCAAGAGAACTCTTGGAAGCTTATTCCTTGTTTTCTCCAGACTTTGTCCCACGCACCTTTTCCCTTTACCAATTTTGCTTTGTATCCTTTCACTGTAATAAACCACAGCCACAAGTATGGCAATATGCTGAACCCTGTTAATCCTTCTAGCCAATCATGGAGGCTGGGGGTCATGTTGGGGACCCCCCCCACACACATATATAAAAGAGAATGGCATGTTGCTTCTGTTTTTCAAGAGAAAAAGTAATTTTTCCTTTTAAAAAAATGTTTAATGCTTATTTATTTTTGAGAGACAGCGGGGGAGAGAGAGTGAGCACGAGAGGGGCAGAGAGGGAGACAGAATCCAAAGCAGGATCCGGGCTCTGACCTGTCAGTACAGAGCCTGACTCGAACCCACGAACCGCAAGAACATGACCTGAGCCGAAGTCAGAAGCTTAAATGACTGAGCCACCCAGCTGCCGCACAAATACTTTTTTCTTAGAGTCTGGTTGTTCTAAGATGTGAAAAGATAGTAAGAGACAAAATTAGAGTGGATACAGTAAGTTTTAGAAGGTCTGAGGAAAAGTGAACTTTATTTGTTGTACTTTATAATGGCTGCAAATACTGAAAAGAAGCAATAAAATGTGTTAGAATTTTGACAAAAACTGGCTTGATTTTGATGGGTTTATTCATTATATGTTTGAAAAATCTTTTATTCTATTTTTTTAAGTAAACTCTACCCCCAATGTGGGACTCAAAGTTATGACCCCGAGATCAAGAGTCACATGCTCCATTGACCGAACCAGCCAGGTGCCCCCAAAATCTTTAACTCTAAATATTATGTTTATGTAACATCAGAGTTTGGTTATATCCTTGTGTCAGTGATAGTCCGCTCTTAACAAGAGGAGGTGAAAAATCATTCTTAACTTTCTGCATAATCTGTCCACATACTACAGATTCAGTCTCTCATCAGAATTATGTTTTGTGCTTTGTGCTAACTTTGTCATACTCTTGATTTAAAAAAAATAAACAGGCCCCAAATAGTCCCTTACCTAGGAGCCTGTGATATGGCACCCACAAAAGGAGAAATGCAAGAAATATTTAGGTTTGTTTGGTATGTTTCATAGTTATTAATTAGCTGAGAATTATTGTTGACAGCTGCTCAGCTTATGGGAAGAAATACCAAATAAAAGAGAATATAAGCCTTCTTGAGACTAACTTGATACAAATATGTTATTAAGATAAGTATGTTTCAGAGGTTGTCACTTTATTTATGGTTGAAATCCCTGGAGATGGTCCTCATAGCCCTTAATATGTTCTTAACCTCTGGGGAAACACTGATCAACTCCTTGAAAGACTCATGTATTATACACCAAGAAAGGATTCTCCTCTATTGAGATATTGTTGGTTACTGTAATAAATTAAGCAGGGCTAGCCAGTCTGATTCTGAATAAGTGGTTTATGCTTTCCTTTCTTCCTTGTCTGAAGGTTCTTCTATAAGCTACAAGCCAGAAACGGAGTCTTTAAAAAAAGAAGGAAGATGTAAACATTCCGTGGAAATAACCTCACTGGATATCAGCTACTGCTGCTTCAAAGAACAGACTCATGGGTGCACACTTCCAAGCCAAAGCTGACGTTGCTTAGAGAACTGTCAGATTTCCGGGATTCTGTTTTTTGGGTTTTGTTTTTGTTTTTTTTGGTCTGGAAGCAGATTACTTCATGAGATCAGACTGTTAACCGACGATTCAGTGGAGGACAAAGAGTTAATTGAGGAGGAATGAACGACCTGTTAGATGAAATATACTTGTGATTATCTGTTTAGAGCATTTTGGTAATTTAAAAAATATTCTATCTGATAGACATATGAGGAAGCCCTTTCTCTTCTTGATCTGTTTCTAACGCTCAATTTAGTAGACTGTGCCTTTGCAAATGGAAATAAAATATCCCTTAAAGTGTGAAAATTTAAAGCTTAAATGGGATTTTGTTCTCATTATCACTCAGAATTAAGGAGCATATACTTTTATGGAGTCTATTTTCTTTTCATAACAATGCAGTTATTTGTATAGAGTAACTGCAAAAAGCATTCGTCCTCCTTTTTACCAAGATAAAACTGAACAAATCAATTATGCAAATACAGCTTTGGAGTTATATTTAAGAATCTATCCTGCTCAGCCATGAGCAGTCCACCATCAAGGAAGAATGTTTTATTTCATATATAGAATCAATACCTAGAGAAGCCATCTAGGAAATGTCTATGGTACCTATGCTATGGCTTTCAAGATCCCAGCCCTACAAGTCGAAAAGAAGGTCACTCTCCGGTAGAACAGGAGCTGTAACAGATCTGGGGAACCGCAAAAGGAGAGGAATTCATCCATATTTACAGGTATTACAGGTGGAACTTGATAGAGATGAATCCATTGGGTTTAGTTTTCTAGCCCTGGAACAGAAGAATAAAAGCAATCTTAAAAAAAAATCTCCAGGGGCACCTGGGTGGCTCAGTCGGTTAAGCGTCCGACTTCGCCTCAGGTCATGATCTCACGGTTTGCGGGTTCGAGCCCCGCGTTGGGCTCTGTGCTGACAGCTCAGAGCCTGGACCCTGCTTCCAATTCTGTCTCCCTCTCTCTCTGCCTCCCTCTTACTCACTCTGTCTCTCTTTCTCTCTCAAAAATAAACATTTAAAAACATTAGAAAAATCTCTGGGATGATGGGGACCATTGAGGATGGAACCCCAAATTCCTTATAAAGTCTCCACTGAGAAATGTGTTTTCTGGCTTTAGTAGTTGCTCAGAACCAGACGGCCTGAGACTTGCTGGCATCCTAACAAAGTGCCCTATAGCTGTACCATGTAAATGAAACCAAGTAACAAAACCACAATGAATCTGTTGTTTTTTTTTTTTTAAATAAAAAAAAAAATCTGTAGAGAACATCTATGAACACAGGGCAGACTGTTAAGAAAATTTTATCCAAAACTTGGAAACAAGGCAAAAGTCTGGTTACATGTGAACATCAAGATGCGACTTTATCTGAAAAGCCCATTTAAAGGTGATTTGGCTCTTCAGGGGGCGCCTGGATGGCTCAGCCGGTTGAATGTCTGACTTTGGCTCAGGCCATGATCTTGAGGTTGGTGAGATCAAGCCGCACATTGGGCTCACTGCTGTCAGTGCAGAGCCCGCTTCAGATCCTCTGTCCCCCTTTCTCTCTCTCCCTCACCTGCTCATGCTCGCTCTCTCTCAAAAATACATAAACATTAAAAAAAAAGAAAAGGCTATCTGACTCCTTGGGGTAGTATAACTTTGTTTGACTTACTATTTACTATTGATTAGGGCCTAACTCTGTGAAGCCATTTGCTGCCCTGTTAAAAACAAAAGCAAAACCCTTGATAAGTTGCAAAGGATTTCTACTTGGTAGAAAAGATGACCTCAGAGTTTGTGGTTTTATTGCCCTGTACGACACTGGCCAGTTTTGTATCTCATTTAGCAAGCTTATCCCAACATGCTTTCCTTTGCTGACCGTTTCTACACCGTCTCTGGTATCCATTTTTGAACGAGCATTATTAGCCAGGTAGTTCCCTCATTAATGAGTCCAATAAATCTTCGTCACAGGCTTACTATAGAACAGTCATACTTTTAACTTAAAAACAAAAATTTAACATATCCTGTCTCCCAGGCGGAAAAAAAGAGCAAAATGTAATGCTTCTGTTTCTGTACTGGATAACGTACACCGGTTTTGTTCCAAGAGTGGGATAATAAAAATACAAATAATGTCTAAAGGAGTGTGTGTGTATCTGTACCTTTAAGAGCCCTTAATCATAGCTTTGAAACCTAGACGAGCAATGGAAGAACATGAATAACCCTACTCAGAAGGGTGGGACAGGGAGAAAGGCTAATCTAGAGTCACTGTCTCTTTCCCACATTACCGCTGCACAACCTCTGAACTTGCTCCTGGCCGTCAATTTCACCCCTCTCCAGTGCATTCGCCACACCACAGTCATGGGAATCTCTCACATACGAACTCTCACTTGCTAAACATAGCAACTGAAAGCCTCTTCCCTCCCTTCCATATCCATACTCCAGAATCAACTCCAAATGAACTTACAAGACCCTTCAAGATCTGCCTGTTGATGGTCATTATGTCCTCAGTTACCACCAGTGCTACTCTTCGTCTCTAAGCTCTAGGCACAACGTGCTAAACCACACATAGTTCCTAAAATACGCCATTCTCCACCTCACGCATGGCTCCCTCTGCCTTCAATGTCATGCCTTCCCACTTAACTTCTTCAGCATGTGACTCCCTTTCCTTGAGATTCAGCTACGGTGACATCTTCCTGGCTTTTTGGATGCCGACTTCTCTGACCAAGAAAGGCTGGGTCTCTTACACACGTCTGTATGACAGCTCTTATCACACCACATTGTGATCGCTTGTTGACTTGGCCAAGTCTCTTAGCTAAAAGCAGAGTCTGTGTCTGACTCCTCATTTTATCCCTGGCACCTAGCACATACTAGGCCTAGCATATAGTGCCTGGCACCTAGAACAGTCGCTCCAAAGTCCTTGCTGAACAATCCTGGGTGTAGATATTGGGAGCAATGGTAAAAGATAGGAGACCAACGGCTCAATGAACATGGGGAAGTGAGCAGGGAGTCAGAGATGGCAGCAAAAGGTAAGAAATGCTACATAGTCAGAGGCTCAGAGAAGGTGTTTACATATGAGGGGTGATGAGGAAGGCTTAAAACACACAAGGATGCCATGCCACCTTCTACTAATCCTACAACGAGTGGAGAGTAGGACAGTGGGCTTCCTTTCCAGGAAAGTGTTGCAAAGGAGATAGTTTTTCCTGGTCCTCACTTGAGGTTGGATTGGGGTACATGACCTGTTCAGGGAAATAAAACGTGAGTGGAAATGAAATGTGTCAGTGCAAGACCCTTTAGATCCTTCCTCTCCTTCTAGCATGGCAGAAGCAGTGTTTGAGAATCATCTCAAACTGCTCAAATCAAACTCAAATCAAAGCTGCTTCATCAGCTTGGCTTTCTGAATGATTATGAGAACCTTCCTGCCAGCCCACACTGAATAGGTCACACAAGCAAGCATCGAGAATGGGTGTTCTAGTGAGTAGGCGAAAACAATGATACTGCTGTGGTTTGCTCACCCCCCCATCCCCCTACCCCATGGGGGGGGGGGGAATCTGGGAGAGCTTTCTCTGATCTCAATGCAGGGGGACAATATCACATTCCACATCCTCTCTCTCTCTTCTTAGCATTCCTACTGCTTGAGAGTATCTGGAAGTAGATGTAGTCAGTCTCCACCCCCACCAGGTAAACCTTAGATTTCCCTCTCCCTCGGTCGTGCCTGTCACATACGATAGAATGGGACTTAAGCTGAGTTGTTACGTATACATGGCTCTAAATATAAAAGGAGATGTAATTAAGGACTTACAAACTAAGAGGCTAAAATCCACTTAAATCTGTCCTTTTCTGTGGGGGCATGAAAGATTTTTGTTTCAATATTTATGTCCACGTGTACATGAGGTCCTTTGAAATAAGATCCCTGGAGGTAAAAAGCCAAGTTCTTCCACCCTTCTGAGATGCCATAAATTTGAGGGAAACTACAGATCCCGAAGAGGACAGATCCATGTTCACACTACTTGTTTTCTCGCTCTACCTCCTTCCAGGTCTATAGTAGGCATAATGCCCTCATCCTGTACTTAGTAAGTTAAGCCCATGTCCCTGGATTGGGTGGGCCTAGATCCTGAGATAGTGGATTTTATTTTCTGCTCAGCACACATTCCCTTCTCCCCTTCTGGTAACAGAGACCTTGTGGGAAAGCCATGCTACCATTTTGGATAAGGCTAAATTCCACCCTACCTCGCCCCATGTCAGAATACCCAATTCTTTTGGCCATAGTGATTGGTTCAATGGGTTCGTGATCCAAGTCATTCAATCATAATCTACCTTGCAACTTTGAATGGCCCCATAGACAATAAAATATTTTCTTTGGCATCAACAGCTGCCAGGGTAACTCAAGCCAAAAGCTGCCAATGGCCATCTCAGCCATTCTGTCTGCCTGAGAATAAAACGAATCTGGAGCACGATCTGATGACATATTTGAACCCCTGGATGCAGTCATATCTTAAGTTATGTCTAGCCCTTAAACTCGTTAATCATGGTAGCCCTTTTGTTTATGCTTGCTTGAAATGGGTTTTCACTGATTAGAGTCCTGGATAGTTCAATAGGTTTAAGTCACTATAACATGAGTTGCATGGGTCAATAAAATTGGGAATTGAGTTCAACTCCACATAAAATAACCACATTTTTGCTATGGCAAAAGTAACATATCACCTCGGGAACATAACTATTGATGAGCAAAGACTCTTTGCCAACCCACGATAGACAGATAGGACAAGTTAGCATTAAAAATTGGCACTCTGGGGGTGCCTGGGTGGCTCAGGTCCATGCAGACAGCTCGGAGCCTGGAGCCTGCTTTGGATTCTCTGTCTTCCTCTGTCTGTCCCTCCCCTGCTTGTGCTCTCTCTCAAAAATAAATAAACATTTAAAAAAAAAAAAAGAAAAGAAAAGAACTGGCACTCTGGGGGCACCTGGGCGGCTCAGTCGGTTAAGCATCTGACTCTTGATTTCAGCTAAGGTCATGATCTCATAGTTCATGGGATCAAGCCCCAAGTAGGTCTCTGTACTGACACCATGGAGCCTGCTTGGGATTCTATCTCAAAATAATAAACTTTTTTTTTTTTTTTTAAACAGAATTGGCAGGGCACTTGGGTGCCTCAGCTGGTTGGGCATCTGACTTCGGTTCAGGTCACAATCTCACAGTTTGTGGGTTTGAGCCCCACTTCAGTCTGGGTGCTGACAGCTTAGAGCCTGAAGCCTGCTTCGGATTCTGTGTCTCCCTCTCTCTCTGCTCCTCCTCCACTCATGCTCTGTCTCTGTCTCTCAAAAATAAACAAACATTAAACAAAACAAAACAAAAAACCAGAATTGGCACTCTGGTGAGAAGTCCATGCTTACTGTATATATACCAGAGCCTGACATCAAAAAATAGACCATTTTCATAACAATGTAACTCTGCAACATGTTCATAGCTTACAAAGCATTTTCACATATTCAACACTCACAGAAATCCTATGAAGTCAATGTTGTAAATATTTTTAGGTTTTGGCCTTTTTTTATCAGTGTGTCACTGATCTTTGAAGAACAGCTCTTTTGGGGACACAGATGGACACTTGTTCATACTGAAGGTTGCTACCAATTGCAGTGGACCTGTTTGTTTTACCATCCTTGGATTTCTCTTAGGGAAGCAGCCCTTTCCCACTGCAGTGCAAGTTGAGTGGGATGGGCCTCACCTTCCACTCCTCCGCGGTTTTACAGGGACTCGGCCTGCTCAATGACAAGATCGCAATTCAAAGCAGCAAATGGCTCGGTGATCAATCAGCATGATCTCAAGCAAAGCCGAGAAGTAGCCTTGTGGATTTTGCCGGAGCTATTTAGAGAGAAGTATTCCTCTTGGGATTGCAAATGTTTCGAACCATACTAACTTGGGATTTCCAGTAGATGTATTTGTCATCACCGGAGAAGATAGAATATAGCCCACACAGAAAAAAAAAAAAAAAAACAAAAAACAGAGCAGAGATGGGAGTCTTTGACCAAGCAATGCCTGAGTCTCTGGTTTCGACCCTTCAATTCCCCAGACACGTGAACTTTTCTGACATGGTAGTAACGTTTATGGGTGAATTGGCAGGAGTGGGGGAGAGTAAAGTGTGCACATTTTATGTACAGTCTACTCAGTCTAAGGGCAGACTATCTGCTTTATGGACTAACAGAGGCTACCACTGTGAAACATGTAAAGAACAATTCAATGAAAACATCTGATTTTTTGAGGGCGTTAATTGGAACTAGAAGGTGATCCACAGATGTCATTTTATATGTATTACCAGAGGGGCACACGCTTTCCCCTTGCCAATAAAGCCTATGGTGAGAGATAGCTCATGTGGTTCTGGATTCCAAGACTGCCCTGTTGGGGCCTAAAAAGGTAAAGGAAAGGACAAAGCAGAGACAAAGAGCTTCCTGTTGAGTCCTGTTGCAATATTAAAAAGTAAAAACTCACCTAGGAAAACAAAGTTATTAGAAACTTTCAGTAGACAATTGAACTGGTTAGCCAACGAATATGAGTACTGTTTGGTGTTCTTATACAGTACTATTGTTTTTATTCTTTGGGTGGTTACACTCTCCTCCCAAAAGCCAGACGTAGTTTAAGATTTATGCTAAATCGGTCTACCTGATCTTGTCTAGTTGTAACTGTACTTTCTATAGGTACTCTTGCTAAATGAGTGGTCCCTTTTTTCTCCATTACCCCCTGCTAAGGGAGTGGAGCCTGCACTTGGCTTGAGGACTCAACACCAGTTGGTAGAAACGACCTTTCTCTACTCTTTAACCTTCTTGCAGATCCGTGGGCCGTGGAGGGAATTTCCCCATCCCCTGTCTGACAAGTGGTGGAGCCCAGATGAACAATTAGAAGCGTGATCGGTTTCCTGAAGGATTTTACGGTAGGTCTTTCTTTGCCTCTTAAAATATGCTTAAATTAGGAAAACTTAGAAGCAATTTACAAAAGTTTCTGACTATATATATATATATATATATATATATATATATATAAACATCTTTATTGACAGTGGACTGGTAAGAGCAGTCAATTTGGTTTTATACGTAACCAAAAACACTTGAAAAATGGAACATTAAAACTTCCAACAATCACACTGGAGTACAAACAACACAGGTCGAACATCGAGCATAAACAGAACAAATACTGAAATGTAAAGGATCAGAGTTCTCAGCAAAACGAACTTAGAGCACGTCTCTCAATGCTGTTGAAACTGTAAATAGATTACAAACTTGAGTCTTTGGAACTGTCAGATAGTTCCCAGTAGAGTGGTACGCAGAAGGGAAAAAAGCAGATTCCCCAAGGTCTCAAGGAGGCTCCGTAGGGAGCAGCACCAGATGGAAGGAAGAATAGAGAAGCCCCTTCTCTATGATGAGCTAGACAGTAGGATGGTCACAGTTCTTGACCGGTAAACAAGAGGTGTCAGATACATTCATTCTTAAGTAATTTCTGCTTGATTGATGCTTAGCCACTTATTATATAGACTGAGTTTTTATCTCCCCAAATTTATCTTGAAACCTAATCCCCAGAGTGATAGTATTAGGAGGTGGGGTCTTTGGAAGGTCACGAGGGCAGAATTCTTCTGAATAGGGTTAGTGCCCTTAGAAAAGAGGCCCCAGAGAGCCCTCTTGCCCTTTTACCAAAAAACACAGCAAAAAGATGGTTGTCCTAGAACCAGGAAGGAGGCCCTCGCTGGACATTGAATGTGCTGAGGCCTTGATCTTGGACTTCACAGTCTCCAGGACTGTGAGAATGTTGTTTATAAGCCACTCAGTCTACGGCGAGTTATTTGGTTAGCAGCCCAAATGGACTGACATTTCATTAAAAAAAAAAAAAGTAAATATATATATATATACGCATATATATACATATGCGTATATATATATATATACGCACATATATATATACATACGTGTGTCTTTATATATTTACAAACATACATATACATATAGAGGTTTTCCACATAATTTATCATGTGCCAGGTCTTTTACATGCATTCTTATCTAATCCTCACAATCTTATGAGAGAAGGATGACTTATTCCCATTTTACAGATAAAGACACTGAGATTCAGTAAGGTCACATAAATGCTAAGTGAAGGTGGCAGAATTCAATCCCAACTTTGAAAATCCCACGTGGGTCTTATTTTGTTAGTCAAATTTGGGCCCCCAAATTATGACCTTATTTTCACTCAAGTGTTGGGCACGCTGAGAAATATTAGGCATTTTAGGCTTGTGGGGGGACATACAATCTCTACGGCAACTCCTTGACTCTGCCGTTGTAGCACCAACAAACATAAACAAATGAGTGTGGTCAAGATCCAACTAAGCCTTGTGTTTGGAGAAACAGGCAGAAGGCTGGAGTTGGTCCATGGGTCCAGGCCACAGTCTGTCAGTTCCTACTTTAGACCATGAGTATGGAGCACTGAGGTGGTGAAAGGATTAAGCGCCTTTCCCTTGTTCCTGTGCCAGCCCCCTATTCTGACCTCTCAGACCTTGAGCCTTCCCACCAGCCTCCACCCTTTCAACGTATCTTTAGTTCTTTCCAAAACCTCTTTCTAGCCCTTTCGGCCCCATATCCTATTGTTTTGATTTTCATTGCTGCTGGATTTAACTCCTTCATCCTTAACCATCTCGTTTGCTCTCCACTATCACTTCTTTAAACTCTATTCCTCTACTTTTTTTCAATAATACAACAAAGGTTTACAGAGAAGGAATTACAGTAACAAGGACAGGGTGGAGAAGGCAAGAGCATGGACTGGTTGCTGAAATGTTCATAAAGGATAGAAGTTAGAAGAGAAAAGAAATCTGTCACTACTTTCCTTCTACCTTTTCTATAATTTTCTTGTCATACAATAGAGTAACAATAAAAACTGACATTTGCATAGCGTTTGGCTAAATATTTATTTCAACTTTTGCTTTTCCAATCCCACTGCTGGTTTTTGGTCACCCAAGTAACTTATGTTATCATTGTGGTTTCATGTCTTTTCTACCTTCTTAAAAAAAAAATTTTTTTTTAAATGTATGTTTAGTTTTGAGACAACGCGAGAGACAGAGTGCAAGCAGCAGAGGGGCAGACAGAGGGAGACACAGAATCCGAAGTGGGTTCCAGGCTCTGAGCTGTCAGCCCAGAGCCCGACGCGGGGCTCGAACTCACGAACCGTGAGATCGTGACCTGAGCTGAAGTCGGACGCTTAACCGACTGAGCCACTCGGGCACCCCTCTACCTTCTTTAGGGCTCTGGGATGTAGCAAAGACCAACACACATCTAGGGAGAACAGTAATAACAACAAAAAGTGTGGACAGAATTTTAAGAGCCAGAGAAATGGCAACCTCTTCTTCATGGAGGGAGGCTGCTTATCCTCCAATGAGTCACTGCCTTGTGAACTAATTTCCATATCTGACAGGAAGGTGTGTCCTTGTGTCTCACAGTTGCTTCAATTATTCCTCTTGACTGGGACCCTAAATATAATAACACATCGAACTCATCAACTTTTCAGACCCTCAACATCCCAGGGGCCTTTTCTCAATGCGACATAGTTTACAGAAAGCAGAATAATGTAAAGAAATGAAATCTTTACGTGAGTATAAAAACAAACAGACAAACAAACCAGGATTCCTTCAATGCCAAAGATGAGAAAAGAGGCATTTGACTGAAAACTACAGTTAAGAGGTTGACCCAGTCTCAACTTCAGGGTAATTCCAAAGAAGTAGAAAAAGAAGATCTACACAGTAGAGGGTAACAATTATCTAAACTGATGACCAGCATAATCTTAAATGAATGCGACTTGGAACCTGCTGTAAATACATTCTATTTATGTGCATCAAATGAGGCAGTAGCCTTTGGGGCAAGGAGAGGATCCAAAGCATATTTCAACTTTTAACCTTTAAGTTTTATAGCTAATATAAAAGAAATGACCCTCTCTGGAGAAATGACACTACCTGTATTATCTGGAGATCTACTTTGGATCCAAAGAGGAACAACTCTGTGCCTTCCTGATGATAAAGATATGGGTCCTCTGCCGAAGTTAACAAACAAGAATTTCCGTACAGAATGAGAAGCTATAAACAGGGCTTTGATGTGACAAAGAGAGGGAGGACCCAGATCTCACCACAATGATATTGCTATCCACTCCCAAGGATTTCTTGAATTTCCACGAAAGGGTATTTGGTGGGGGTGGGGGGGAAGGGGATCAAAATTTGAGATCCCTAGCTAGAAGCTTTCATACTGATTCAATCAGTAGATAGAAGGAACATTCTGTTTATGGCTCAAAACTATGTATTATGCAAGTAAAATCAGATGCATACACGATTGGTCCTCCAGCAGCATTTTATGGGTATTCCACCTAAATGCTCAGGTATTTAACACAGTGATAAACCAACTTACATTTCTTCACATTCAGTAATTTTTCAGAGTTGCTCTTCAGTATGAATTCTTTGATGTCTGATGAGGGATGAACTGCACTTAAAGCTTTTCCCACATTCGTCACATCTGTAAGGCTTCTCTCCAGTATGAGTTCTCTGGTGTTGAATAAGAGCTGATGAATGAATGAAGGCTTTCCCACATTCATTACATTTGTACGGTTTCTTTCCAATATGAATTCTTTGATGTTTAGCAAAATTTGAGCTCCGGCTGAAGGTCTTCCCACATTCGTTACACTCATAGGGTTTCTCTCCAGTATGGATTCTCTGATGCTGAACAAGATGTGTGCTCTGACTAAAGGTTTTTCCACATTCGCTACATTCATATGGCTTTTCTCCAGTATGAACTCTCTGATGTTTAGTAAGGGATGAGCAGTGGCTAAAGGCTTTCCCACATTCCTGACATTTGTAGGGTTTCTCTCCAGTATGAGTTCTTTGATGTTTAATAAGAGCTGAGGAATGAATGAAAGCTTTATCACATTCATTACATTCATACGGCTTCACTCCAGTATGAATCAACTGATGCTGTACCAGATGTGTACTTCGATTAAAACCTTTTCCGCATTCATTGCATTCATACGGTCTCTCCCCAATGTGAATTCTCTGATGTATCGCGAGGGATGAGCTTTCTGTGAAGGCCTTCTTGCATTCACTGCATTCAAAGAGAATTCTGGTATGAGTTCTCTGATGTTTAGTTAAATTAGCTCTGTGGCTAAAAGATTTCCCACATTCATTACAGCTATAGGGTTTCTCTCCAGTATGGACTCTCTGGTGTCGAATAAGCACTGAATGGTAAGTGAAGAGCTCCCCGCAATCGTTACATTTATGAGGTTTTTTCTCTTTACAGGTTCTTTGCTTTTTCATTAAGTTTGATTTCGGTTTCAACCTTTTTCCAAGTGTATGGAAGGCATAGGATCCTTTGGGAACTCTGTCTTGAGTGAGAAGAACAGACTTCTGACCAAAGTTTTTCCAATATACGTCATGCTCATGAGCTCCTTCTTCGGGGAGTGAATTCACATGGGTGAACATTTCTCTCAAGGGTCTCTCCTGATTTCCTTGCTGATTCTCTAACCAATTTTCACATTCAAGAGTTGTTTCCAAGCTGGAGTCATAGACACCGTTTCCTGTCAGTCTGTCTATTACTGCGGCTTGGCATGATTCTTCTTTGGAAATATCTTGCACTGAAGTTGAATCTTTGCCCTCGGGTTTAGCCTCCAGGTCTGAAAGAAATTGGAAATGCAAATTTCCTTCGTTTTCAGTGCTCAACAAAAAGCAGTTCTGTAACAGCTAATGAAGATGAAACGCATGCTTTCGAGGAGTAGGTGGATTTGACTTTCATAAGATGATTTGCAAAGAGAAGCAAATGAAAGGAAACAAATGCACAGACGTGGAGAGAATGAGGAGACCTTATCCAGGACAGTCAAAAGGGGATAAAGATGACCAGAAATACAGGAGAAGGAGAGATTCAGATGGAGCAATACATCACTGGATGAGCAGGTACTGAGCACACTAGATCAGCAGAGGGGAGAAACGAATTCTTACTGAACATCGACTTCTGTAATAAATACACGGTTATCACTTTAGTGTAGAGGACGGTCATGACGTCTAGGTTTCCAGACATCCAGTCCCACTCGTGTCCAAATATGCGTCCCATTTCCAGTCTAATCTTCCCTAACAATGCTTTTATATACACCTCTGATCAAAAATCTATGATCGCCCGAAGATATAATGGCAAATATATGAAATTATACTTACACAAGACTCCTCATTATAACACTACTTGACACAGCCAAAGACTGGTAAATCTTAATATCCTACCTATACAACAGAGAACTCATGAAACACATGATGATGTAGACATACAACTGGAAAATCTTAATATTCTACCGTAGAGAACTCATTAAATACGCTCTGACGTAGACATAAAATGGAGTACTAGGCAACTTTTTAAAAAGTCAGAAAGGTTTTCCATATATAGGTGTGAAGTTCTCTCCAGGATAGAGTAAATAATTTTTAAAAAAACCAGCAGGCTGCAAGTAAGGGTGTATAGTTTGCTACTTTTTGTGTAGGAAAAAGGGGGGGGGGCAGGGAGATACAAATATACACACATATTTAGTTATATCTTCAAAAACCAAGGACAGATTAATGAAATACTAGTAAAAATGGTTGCCTATGGGGAAAGTATCAGAATAGAAGAGGGCAGGGATGGAAACTCGATCTCTCTAAATATATTAGAATTTTTATATCCAATATAAAACTACTTCATAAAGCTAAAATAATTTAAAGAGCGTGCGTCAAAGGAATAGATTGGTCAATCAAACAGGAGAGCAACTTCCGAAAGAGTCAAGGATGTGCGGCTAAAAACAATACAAAGGTGATATTTCAGTCAGTCAGTAAAAGGTAATTTGTTTTCCAACAAATGTCGCTATGACAACTGATTAAACATTTAGAAGAAAATTAAGTTAAGGGCGCCTGGGTGGATCAGGTGGTTAAGTGTCCGACTTTGGCTCAGGTCGTGATCTCACGGCTCGTGGGTTTGAGCTCGGCATCAGGTTCTGTGCTGACAGCTCAGAGCCTGAAGCCTGCTTCAGATTTTGTCTCCCTCTCTCTCTGCCCCTCCTCACCTGCTTACGCTTTCTCTCTCAAAAAGAAACATTAAAAAATTTTTTTTTAAGTTATGATTTAAAAAATAATTGTATGATGTAATGTCTCAATACTCAGAAGATCTGCATAACTCGATGAACCACTATATTCAAAAAGATCAGTAGATTTTAACAAGAGTACGAAAAATTCATGGATCTGATTTCAGATACCACATTGTATCTCATCTTTAAGAAACTACCGCTTGTCCAGTTTCAGTGTGGATCAGAACAGCCACACTTATCTGAAAACACCTATAAAATACTCCTCTCTTTTCCAACTATATATTGGAGTGAGGCTGGATTTCTTTCACACAAATCAACCAGAACAACATATCACAACAAACTGCATTCAGAAGCAGGAGAATACAGATTTACAAAAATGTAAAACAGTGTGTTTTCAGTACATTTTTTTTTTTGCAGCAAATAGTTGTTTTCATAAAAATTATATCATTTGCATTAACATGTAATGGGTTTATAAGTGCTTTTTTACATAGAAATTTTTTTAGTATTTATTTTTGAGAGAGACCGAGTGCGAGTGGGGGAGGGACAGAAAGAGAGGGAGACAGAGAATCTGAAGCAGGCTCCAGGCTCTGAGCTGTCACCACAGAGCCCGATGCGGGGCTTGAACTCATGAACTGTGAGATCATGACCCGAGCTGAGTCGGATGCTTAACCAACAGAGCCACCCAGGCGTCCCTTTTTTTTAATTTTAGAGACAGAGACAGAGAGAGAGAGAGAGAGTGCATATGAGTGGGGGAGAGGGGCAGAGGGAGAGAGAGAATCTTAAACAGGCTCCACGCTCAGCACAGAGCCCGACATGGGGCTCAATCGCATGACCCTGGAAAATCAAGAGCTAGTCAACTGACTGAGCCCCACAGGTGCCCGTGTAATTGTTATTTTTTCTATTATTATTTTTGTAATGTTTATTTACTTTTGATAGAATGTGTCTGTGTGTGGGGGGGAGGGGTTGCAGACAGAGAAGGAGATACAAAATCTTAAGCAGGCTCCAGGCTCTGAGCTATCAGCACAGAGCCTGATGTGGGGCTCAAACCAAAAACCGTGAGATCATGACCTGAGCCGAAGTCAGACGCTTAACCCACTGAGCCACCGAAGTGCCCCTATTTTTTTTCCCTAAAGTTTATTTATTTTGAGAGAGACAGAGACAGCGTGAGTGGGCGAGGGGCAGAGAGAGAAGGAGAGAGAGAGAATCCCAAGCAGGCTCTGCCCTGCCAGCTGCACAGGGCCTGATGCGGGGCTTGAACTCACAAAACCGTGAGATCATGACCTAAGCCAAAACCAAGAGTCGAACGCTTAACTGACTGAGCCACCCAGGCGTCCCCTATTTTTGTTATTTTTAAATGAATAACTTAATAGTTTAAATTGCTTTCAGTTTCATTTCTAATACAGGAAGTATTGGTAAATATAAACCACATAAACAAAAGCTCGTGAGGGTCCTCAATAATCTTAAACTGGATCCTTTCACACCAGGGTACCTAAGAACTGCTAAGAGTACAGAAACAGGGAGAGTACGTGTGAGATAAGGTTGGAATGATGACGAAAAGCCACACTTTACAAGACTTCGTCGACCTCAAGGATTTTGATTGTTTTCTAAGAGCAACAGGAAGACACTTCAATGTTTCAAGCAAAAAGATGACACCGTCATATTTTTATTTTGAAAACATCACTCTCACTGTAATATAAAGAATGGTGGAAATCTATGGGGGCAAAGGTAGAACTGAGATTATCTGGGTGGTCCAGGCAAACAAAAGGGAGATGGAGGGATGCTAACTAAGAATGAAGAAATATTTACAATAAAATTAGATCAATGCAGTGACAAATTGGAAAAGGAGAGGGAGGGAAGGGTAGAAACCGTTCACAGAATTCTGGCTTGCGCAATTTGATAAGACAGCGGGTGTCGTTAAGACAATGATTGGAAAAGGATTCTCCTGGGTGGATGGAGAATTTGGGCATATATCAGGCAACCAGTTTCAAACATGCTGTATTGAGGCGTCTTTAACATAAGCAAATAAAGACATCAAATAGTTACACAAATGTTTAGAACAGTTGGCCCAAAGAGGTCTAGGCTGGAAATACAAATTTGGGATTCATCTAGATAGTGATGATCATTTGGTTGTGGGAGAAAATAGAGGCTGCAAACAGGTGGCCAGTGGGACAAATCTGACCCTCAGACTTACTGTATTTGGCCCACCCTATTTATACAGATTTTTTTAAGTTTTATGTATTTATTTTTAGAGAGAGTGGGAGGGAGGGGCAGAGAGAAAGACAGAGAGACAGAGAGAATCCCAAGCAGGCTCCAGACTGTCAGCACAGACCCTAACAAGTGGGGATTGAACTCACGAACTGCAAGATCATGACTGGAGTCAAAATCAAGAGTTGGATTGACTCCAAATTCTTTTTAAATGTTTTTATTTACTTTTGAGAGAGAGAGAGAGCGCGCACAAGCATGGGAAGGACAGAGAGAGAGAGAGGGAGTCACAGAATCTGAAGCAGGCTCCAGGCTCCGAGCTGTCAGCACAGAGCCCAAAATGGGGCTCATACATGTAAACCACAAGATCATGACCTGAGCTAAAGTCGAACACCTAACCGACTGAACCACCTAGACGCCTCAAGAGTTCAATAGACTTTTTAAAAATGTTTTATTTACTTTTGAGAGAGAGAGAGAGCGAGCACAAGTGAGTGGGGGAGGGGCAGAGAGAGAGGTAGACACAGAATTCCAAACGGGCTCCAGGCTCTGACCTGTCAGCACAGAGCCCAACGTGGGGCTCGAACTCACAAACCCTGAGATCATGACCTGAGCTGAAGTCAGATGTTTAACCAACTGAGCCACCTAGGTGCCCCAAGAGTTGGATTGATCTTTTTTTTAATGTTTTATTTACTTTTGAGAGAGAGAGAGAGAGAGAGAGAGAGAGAGAGAGAACAGGGGAGGGGCAGAGAGAGAGGGAGACACAGAATCTGAAGAAGGGTCTAGGCTCTGAGCTGTCAGCACAGAGCTTGACTCAGGGCTCAAACTCCCAAATCGCGAGATCATGACCCGAACCGAAGTCGGACGCTTAACCAACTGAGCCACCCAGGTTCCCCAGAGTTGGATTGATTTTAACCAACTGAGACACCCAAGCACGCCAGAGAGAGATCTTTCCAAGCACAAATCAAAAACTGGAAAATTTAGGGGCGCCTGGGTGGCGCAGTCGGTTAAGCGTCCGACTTCAGCCAGGTCACGATCTCGCGGTCCGGGAGTTCGAGCCCCGTGTAGGGCTCTGGGCTGATGGCTCAGAGCCTGGAGCCTGTTTCCGATTCTATGTATCCCTCTCTCTCTGCCCCTTCCCTGTTCATGCTCTGTCTCTCTCTGTCCCAAAAATAAATAAACGTTGAAAAAAAAAATTAAAAAAAAAAAAAAAAAACTGGAAAATTTAGGAGCACCTGGGTGGCTCAGTCAGTTAAACATCTGACTTCAGCTCGGGTTGTGATCTCAAGGCTCGTGGGTTCGAGCCCCTCATCAGGCTCTGCGCTGACAGCTCAGAGCCTGGAGCCTGCTTTGCATTCTGTGTCTCCCCCCTCCCCCCCGACTCTGCCCCTCCCCTGCTTATTCCATCTCAAAGATAAATAAACTTAAAAAAACCTGGAATATTTAGAAGATTGTAATACATTAAATTTGTACATTAAAAAGCACCCAAAACTGAAGAACAAAACCTAGAAAAAACGTCTGACAAGGATTAAATGCCTCATGTATGAAGAGTTCTTGTAGCTCATTTAGAAAATGGCAATCTCCTGTAAAAAAAGGGAGAAGGGTTACGAACAAGCAAGGCTCAAAAAGGGACATGCCGACATGGGGAAAAGATGAATCTATAATCACAGGGGAAGATTTTAGAACTCTCAGTATTCCAAAGAATAAGAGGATTTAAAAAAGGATATTAAGACAAGATTTCCTTTTGGAGATATACACACTATCAAGTATAATTAAAATGATTATTGTGATAATTAGAACATATTATTGCAGCATGGACAGGTAAGTAAGACCAGAGAGCCTAGAAACAGACCCAAGTATATATGGGACCAGAGTTTACCAGAGTTAGGGTTACAAATCTGTGACAAAATATAGATTTTTCAATAAAAAGATGCTGAATTATCAGTTTTAAACATGGAAAAAGAGAAAAGTAGTTCCTGTTTCACACAGTATGCAAACCCCGAGTATCTACCTGCAAGATAAAACTTGAACATTTTAGAATAAAGTATAGATATCTTCCTGGCGCTGGAATAAGAAGACAACTCAGAAAAAGCATAAAGTATATTAAAAAAAAAAATAAAAGACAGGGCACCTGGGTGGCTCAGTTGGTTAAGTGCCTGAGGCTTGATTTCGGCTTAGGTTACGATCTCGTGGTTTGTGAGTTCGAGCTCCACGGCTGGCTCCGTGCTGACAGCGTGGAGCCTGCTTGGGATTCCCTTTCCCTCCCTCACTCTCTGCACCCCTCCCTCAAAATAAGTAAATAAACTTAAAAAAAAAAAGATAAGTCTGTTAACATTAAAATTTTAAAATTCTGCACGCGTAAGACACCATAAAACAGAATAAGCCGCAGAGAAAAAGAACCAATATTTTTTTTCTCACTGATTCGTAATGGTACCGGTCATATATTAGTATCTAAAATATGTAAAGAACTCCCAACAAATCAAGAAAAAGGTGTGAATGGCCCAATTTCAAAAAAAAAATAAGGCAAAGAATGTAAGTAGGTAATTTACAAAAGAGGAAACCTGAGTAGCTAATGAAACATATGAATTACTAAAACTCATAACCAGAGAACCATAAATTAAAAAACATGAAATTTCATTTCACACCCATCAGACTGACACAAATTACTACATCTGATAGCATCACCTGTTGGCCCGGATGAAGGTAGGAGGACCTTGGCAGTTCCTAACGAAGCCAAACATGTGATACTTGAAGATTCAGTCCATCTTATCCTGGTTACGTACCTAAACCAAATCTCAAGACGAATATAAAGACTCAATAAAAGGATGATCATTGCAACTCTCTTAGTAACAGCAGAGAAATTAAACTGTTCAGTTCACTTACACAATGGACTTACTCCACAGCAGTTAAAATGAATACAATTCACATGTATTAACATAGGTACTATCAAAATACAGTGTGAAGCTGTAAAATAATTGATTACAAAATAAAAAGTACAACATAATACTATGCACACATAATTATTACTTTTTTTTTTTTTTTATCTTAGAGAGAGAGAAAGAGTGTGAGTGGGGGAGAGGGACAGAGTAGGAGAGAGGAAACACTCAACAGAGCTTGACACGGGGCTGGATCCCATGACCCTGGGATCGTGACCTAAACCAAAGTCAAGACTGAGACGCTTAACTGACTGAGCCACCCAGGCACCCCTACAATTGTTCTTTGACGTGTGTATATGTATATGTGTGAGTAACTACACACACATACACACACACACACACACACACACACACACACGTACACACACACACGTACACACACACACTAGAATGATTCACCCCAACTAGTTACTTCTAGGGACAGAGCAAATAAAAGGATTTTAAATCTGTCCCATTTTTTACTTCTTAAAAAGATATCACACACCTGTAAGAATGGCTAAAATGAAGCAGACAGACAATATTAAGTGCTGGTGAGGATGTGGGGCAACTCACATCCTCTGCTAGTGGGAGGGTAACTATAATTAAGACAATGACTTTGGAAGCCTATTTGGTGCCATCTACCAAAATACCGGCCCCAGGATCCAACAATTCTCCCTGTGTGTTTGTCCAACAGAAATGCATATACCGACATACCTTGTTTCATTCCACTTAATTGTGCTTCCCAGACACTGCCTTGTGTTTTGCTTTTTACAGATGGAAGGTTTGTAGCAACCCTGCATCAAACAAGTACATCAACGCCACTCTTCCAGCAGCATTTGCCCACCTGGTGCCTCTGGGTCACATTTTGGTAATTCTTGTGGTATTTCAAACTTTCTCATTAGTATTGTATTTGTTATGGCGATCTGCGATCAGTGATTACGGTTTGCTGAAGGCTCTTATGACAGGAGTTTTAGACAACATTTTTTAATTAAGGTATGCGTGTCGTTTGGTTTTTAGACATAATGCTATTGTACCCTGTAGCGTAATATAAACATAGCTTTTACATGCAACGGGAAACCCAAAAATTCATTTCACTTCCTCTACTGCAACACTTGCTTTACTCTGGTGGTCTGGAACCAAACCCACAGTATCTCCAAGGCATGCCTGCATGGGTTCACCAGAAGACAAGTAAAAGAATATACAGGGCAGTCTTCTTCATTTAGCCCCAACCTAGAAACCACCCACACGCCCATCTCAAGAGAACGGATAAACTGGTATATTGACATAATGAAAGATGGCACAACAAAGACAATGAACTATAAGTACATGCGAGAACATGGATGTATCTCACAGTCATGTTCAGTGAAGAAAGCCGGACATTGGAATATACAATAGGATTCTGTCTAAATGAAGTTCAAGAACAAGTTCTATGGTGTCAGAAGTTGGGATAAGGTCACCCTTGGAAGGAATGAAGGGACAAGGGTGCTTCCGGGCTGGTGAGGTTGCTTCTTGATCTGGGCAGTAGTTACATGAACGTGTTCATTTGCGAAAATTCGAAGAACTGTACAGTTATGATATTTTTATTTTGCATTGCAAAATAAAGAAACAAAGGCAAAAGAAGCAAAGTACTGGCATATGTCTGGTTTTGACAGTGAACACATGTGTTATTTTATTTTCTCAACTTTTATATTATTTAAAAAGCTGTATAATTTAAAATAAGATATTAAAAAATAAAAGCGCGTAGGTATTGCCAGTATTCTTTTTTAAGCACGGAAAAGTGTCCCTTTTTCGCCGTCCTGTGGCGTTACTGTTTCTGAAGACTCCCATGCATCTGACTCACCTGAATAGCTGCTTTTGGGGGCTTTTCTCTCAAGCATCAGTGGTTCTTTTCCGCTCTCCAAACTGTAGTTCTCAGATTTGGAAACTGGAAGCCCTGCTCACAGAAAGAAAGAGAGAGAGAACGAGAGGAAGGAAGGAAGGAAGGAAGGAAGGAAGGAAGGAAAGAAAGGGAAAGGAAGGGAAAGGAAAGGACAACAACAAAAAGAAACAGGCCTTAACTATTTGTGATGGGCACAAAGGTCTATTCTAGAGCACAGTCCCAACCCCTTGATCTACAAAGATAGGATATTAAAAGAAGATCGGAAATAAGGGAGGATGGACCTTGAATGGAACTCAAAATATCTGCAGCAAGAATCTGGGTCTGGTAAGGAGTTTACATGCACTGGAAAAGGCAAATGTATCTGCCGGTCAAAAAGAAGAGAATTTCTCAGGGCACCTGGCTGGCTGGCTGGCTCAGTGGGGAGAGCACATGACTCTCGATCTGAGAGTCATGAGTTCAAGCCCCGCGTTGGGTGTCGCGCTTACTTAAAAAGGAAGAAGACAATTTCTCTTTATTTTTCTATTGAGGAAGTTCCAGAGAGACACCGCAGGTGAGTCCTTAGCTTAGGGAAGAGGTAGAGAAAGTGGGACCTCAGTGGCAGCACCAAAAAGTCGTGCCCTGTGGCGACTAGAGTTTTTGTCTCCTTTTTAATAGTTTTCCCCTTTCTTCCTTCTTCATTTATCAGAACCCACTTTCTTAGGGAATTTATTACACAAGCATAAAATTAATTCAAGGCAAAAAGTACTAAATTAGAAAATGATGGCAACAAATTACTGATACAAATAGAACTTCTGAATGTTCATGTGTAAATATCACTGGGAGAAGATAACATAGTTCCTTCTACCCCCGAAAGAACACATACATGTGGGAGTACCCATTCGCACATTCCCACACCCACACACCCTTCACGGAAGTGAGCGTAAGATCCACACTGGCCAGGGGCGCCTGGGTGGCGCAGTCGGTTAAGCGTCCGACTTCAGCCAGGTCACGATCTCGCGGTCCGTGAGTTCGAGCCCCGCGTCGGGCTCTGGGCTGATGGCTCGGAGCCTGGAGCCTGTTTCCGATTCTGTGTCTCCCTCTCTCTCTGCCCCTCCCCCGTTCATGCTCTGTCTCTCTCTGTCCCAAAAATAAATAAACGTTGAAAAAAAAAATTAAAAAAAA